TAACCACTCAATAAAAGTGAGCCACTTATATGAAACACCCTGTATATCAATTCATATTGATTAAATAACAATGTCAATGTCAATAAGAGAATGAATAGAAGAATATCAATTAATCGAGTATTTTTAATCACCATTTGATCATCGACACTAGCAGTATCTCTGGAATTTTACAATTGCAAACCGACAGTACCTTTTTCATATTGATAAAATAGCTGTGCTTATTAACATTATATATTTTCACGTATGTGAGATTTTCGATTATTGATATGAAAATACATCAATCACAACCAACAAGTAATTTCAAGAGTTTACAAAAATAACTTCAAAACATCGCATCAGTTGTGTATCATTGATTTAATTGAAACCAATTACTAATTATTCGAAAATTATGAGTTATTTTATGCACAAAATAGGCCATAACATGAATGAAATTATCTGTAGTTTTTGCGTTTATCTGTTCTACCATTTTAAAAATAATTTTTCAACCTAATACTCGTACGTGCTTCAGAGCAACTTTAATTCATTTCAATGCTTGGTATTGCAAACTTTGCTCGTTTTCATTTTGTTCTGCGAACTTGGAATATTTTTGTTTATGAATTATTGTTATGTTTAACTGGTTTTTGGCACGGCCAATGCACAGAATTTTCTATCGATAAACACATAAATTAAACAAAAAAATTTAAAAACAAATATGAAAACAAAAGCAAAAACCAAAATTCACAACGTATTCATGACGAAAGAGAGAGAGAACAAGTGTGTAACACAGCATGTGGTTTGGCGTCATTTCTCTGTATCACTGTCTTGTTGTTGTTGTTGTTGTTGTTATTGTTGTGTCTGGCGAAACACAAGCCCTTTTAAGATGTCATGAAATGAAACGACAGTTAATCGGTTGACAGTTAATTGTCCATCACAGTTTCACCATCTCTCTTTATTGTCCAATCGCTTGTTACACACTTGTTTTTTTTATCACGTGTTCGAAAATATATATATAAAAAGGAATCTCTTCTTTGATTTGCTTTTCAGTCTCGTTCGATGATTCAGGTATTTCAGTGCTTCGATACAGCGACATAAATTCAAAAACAAAACAATTTTTGTATCAAGTGCATTCAATTTAAGAGGATAAATAAATTTTGTATATCTGTGTGTATATACTTATAATCTATTCAAAAAATAAACCAAAAGACAAACAAAAAATTACATAATTTATAAACATAAACAATTAACAATTGAAATATTGTTTTGTTCTCATCAAGAAATACAGATAAGTTTATGTGATAAAATTTGTATTCGGTGTAACAATTTGGCATTGATCGACTGACATTTTCACATCGATTTCTTGATTTTCGAATTTGTTTTTAACAACGTTTGTATGTGTTTGGTTTTTTTTTTTCAATCGGCAAATGAGGACGATATGAATCAGTTACATTCATTTATTTCGTAAATCGTGATTGTTCAAAGAAATTTGGATTAAATACACAGAAAAAAAATTGGGTTAGTGATTGACATTTGCACGTCGGACGTGTATATTGTGAGGTATAGTGCACATTTTTTTCTCTTCATGTTAAAAAAATCGAATATTGTGTTTCGCATGATTTGTATAAAACGTAGTTTGACTGAAGTCATGAATGTGGATACAGATAGAGTGTTTCGAAATGCTAAGACACAACTTTCAGTCTTAGTTGGTGTAATAAAATTACAATATTAAGTTTTAATTAATTCGAGTAAAATGATGATTGTTGATGCTTATGGCTGCTGATTGTCTTGAACTGCTTGCGGTCGTCGTGGTCTTCGTAACATCAACGGAATATCAATTCCCAACAAGTCACAATGTCCTACAAAAAATTTCAAATTCATTTAAGTAAACAAAGCAATGACTCATATATACAAATGTGTATTGCATATTTACATACCTTTGATGAGAATACATTCTATCATATCGTCTTATGTACGATAACTGGTTGTTCTTCAGTACAATTATCATCGATTTCCGTAAGGTCTTCATCATCGACAGTATGTGGCACTGGGTGTTGAACGACTTCATAGTCGATTACATTTTCATCATCGAAAACATTTGGTTGTTGATCATCAGCATATTCCAATGCACCATTCACGTTTACTTGCCATTTTTTCGTGTGCACAGTCACCTTAGACAGTAAAAGTTCAGATGCAATGTTAAATTCATCCTCATTCATGCTTCCTTCTTCCACAAATTCCTGCAAAAAAAAATTATAGTCTTGGTTGAATCTCAAGCGCCGTTTGCCTCGTTGTGCTACGATCTTTGATGGTAATAGCATCGCAAAGACTGAATTTGGTTGTGGTCGACAATCTTGACAAACTTTGAACCGATGGCTTTTGGTGCGTGGATCAAACCGGGTCCCACATTTAGCACAATTTTGCGATGTATTATATTCGTCGACCTTTCGAATGACAACGTTGCGACGCTTTCGGAAACTCTTGATCATTTTTCGCGTGCCCGGGCACCGCATGTGCTTTTTTATGTGGATTGGTGAGTTTGATGATACATCTGCATTTCCCAAATAATTTGTCACACGTTCGATTCGATTCGATGTATTTGTCAAAACGTAAGCGAGCATATCGAGCAGTTGTGTATGTGGCCATTCCTTTTTTCGCCATCTTCAAACGATGGCGAACATAATCTTTCCAATTGTAGCCCATTGGAGAAGGCATCAACGCATACAAAGCACGATTGTTACGATCGTTTTGCTCTTCAGTGACGAATTGTTTTGTCCAACGTTTTGCTTTCGCATCACGTGATTTTTGCTTTGCAAGCCAATGGTACTTTTTGCTGCTCGTTTTCAAGTTGAACTAAGAAATAAATTTGTAAAACCAATCAATGGGTCAAACTGGCAATTTGAATAGGATGGTGACCGATTCACCATCGATGATGATACATGGTGAAATGTTCGTTTTTCCTTCAAAATACTCCGTATTTTCTGGATATCGAAGACGATATTCCAAATTTCATCTTTGCGCTCGAAAAATTCCTTCTGTTGAACATTACCACCAGGGTAAAACATATTCGATTTTGGCAAGATTCGCAAATTCGACATTAAACGCAATAGGACATCTGAATCTACTACAATGTGTTTTCGTTGGTATATACAAGACGGTATTACGGCCTTGTTTTTCATCTTTGGAACATTGACTTGATTCTGTTGAGCCCAAATGTGGAATTGATCGATTGAAGTTTGCATGAATATCCACATTGGCATGGTATCAAGCCATTTTCCTTTTGACCCAAAATTTTTGAAGTCTTTCAGCATTGTTTTTGCATGAATCATACTGTTTAAAATTTAAATGTCCAATTGATAAGGTTTTTGATATCATGTTCATCGAATTTGGTGGCATTTGGATTCTCTCGGTGGAATCGCCATATTTTCATTTTGAGAAATTCTCGAACGCGCTCGAGTGCATGCGTATTCAATTTCGTTTCAATATTGGTTACATATGTCGCTATCAAATATTTCATAATATTCCCAAAATTGTCATTGAAATGAAAATCGATCGTCACCGGGTAATTCTTCAACGAATCGGCGAAAATCATTCGGCATTGACTCATTTTCTTCCAAAAATGTTTAAAAACACTCTCTTACGACATCTTCCCCTTTTTTGAAATAAAAAAGCACCGTTGCCCTCAAAAGTGATCCGAGTAAGCAGATTTTCGTTGCCATTATCGATCTTGATTGCAGCCATGGTATAACTGATTCTTTACATTCTTCACGAATAATTGTATTAAGCGATATTTTTATACCGAACAATGGCACTTTGTCGTTGTTTTCATTTTCATTACAATGCAGATCAGGATCAGCATTACGCTTTCTTTTGCGCACTCGCATCGTGAATCTATTTCAAACGATAACAACAAACGATACGCAGTAAATCGCAGATCTGATCGTATTGATGAAATCTCTCTGAACTTTGCTCTGAAATTCACCTCTATTTATACACAATTTTGTGCTGATTCAGTCATCTTCTTTTTTGATAAATTTAAAGACCGATATTTTCAACAAAAAATTCTTTCTGAAAACATACTGATACTAATTGAGATGAAATATTTTATATCGACAAATTTTACACAATAAACAATAGGAAAACGTCGTTTACAAACATTCACTTGAGAGCAAAAATGTGTGACAAATATCTTATCATTTTAAAATGCAAAGCCGAATGAAGCACAATATTCACTGTTCATAATAACGTAGTTAAAATAAGAAAACTGATTGCTTGACCGAAAACCGAACCATTTACCATTTGGAAGTTTGGAACGAAAGGCAAGCTATCATATCGATGGTGCAGAATCGTGTGTTTTCCTCATTAAATGGTCTCTTTTGCAAGAAATATTGAAAGGCAATATTGATATATAGGGTGGCGCATATAATAGGGCCACTCTTAGGGGGTGGAAATTTTTAAAAACCCTTTCTATCTGAGCAGAATTTTGAATTTTTCCCCATATGATTTTTTTACCTGAAACCCCGAAATTCGGAATCAGCATGAAAAATTACCCTGGAATCGATATTTTTCTCATGCACGCTTTTTCACAAATTTTGGACAAAAAAAGTGTAAAATCGACTTTGTAAGATTTGAGGGGTCGATTTTACACTTTTTTGGTCCGAAATTCTTGAAAAAAGGTGGATGAGAAAAATATCGATTCTAAGGTAATTGTTCATGCTGATTCCGAATTTCGGGGTTTCAGGTGAAAAAATAATATCTTTGGGGCTTTTGACCCCCCGACCCTTTTAGGGGTAGTACATTATTTTTTGATCCGATGAACTTTTGAAAAATTCGGGAAAAATTCAAAATTCTGGGGAAAAATTCAAAAGATCTCAGATAGAAATTTTTTATTTTTTACCCCCAACATACCCCCCAAAGGGGTTTTCAAAATGTCCACCCCCTAAGAGTGGCCCTATTATATGCGCCACCCTGTATATATTAACCAATGCATTGTGTTTGTGCCTACGTCTTGTTGTAGAAAAATAAACCACGAAATAAAAACAAATACATACTGCAATTTTGCTAAAAACTAATCGTTCCATTTGACACTGAAATGACCACCATAACGGATTTAGTTCTGCTATTGCGATTGTATATGGTTTTTTAAATAAGGTTCTGATACTCAACAGCAGTTTTCGACCACAAAGAAATTATTACAAGAAAGAGTTTGGTTTTTATTCTCAATTTTACAGCACGCGGCAAATTTGAAATCATTTTTCCTGGAATAAAGGCGAGTCGACAGTAATATAAGCACTGTGTGAGGAAGAAAAAAACTCAATCGACGTTTGTTTAATCATAAATTAATGTGTATGTTGCGTTGTGCTGCTACGATTGTATATGATTTTTCAAACAACTGATTGAGAGCCCATTGTTAACAAAACGTTGTGAAGTCAGTAAAAATAATAAAACAAAAAAATGAATGTGGATACACAGGAGCTAGAGCGACCCAAAAATCCCTATGAAAGTGCATGGTTTTATAAACGATGGACATTTTGGTAAGTTATTAGACTCCAATTTTCTCTTGTTTCTCTGCATTTTGTTTTCGTTGATTAACAGACGATCGGTCGAGATTAAGTATGTGAACGGGCCGCTTGAATGTATTTGAAGAGACTACAAATAAATTCAATAAAATTTATTATATATAAGATAAGCATGGCAAGAACTAGACAAAGTAAACCTTTTGATAGACAATCCATACATATGTAAAATTTAAACAAAATATGTTTCTGATCCATCGCCACCAAAGCCGTCTAGTTTATGCTATTGTTATTGTTATTGAATTAAATCTAATCATTCATTAATACGAAGAGAAAAATATATTTCAATTTTTGTGTGTTTGTGATTTGTTTTTAGGTGGCTTAAAGATTTGTTCAAATTGGGTCTTCAAAAACCATTAGATTCACAAGATATTTATAAGAACCTTATGCAACACAGTTCATCGAAAATTTCGGAAAAATTTAATAAAATTTGGGAAGAAGAAAAATACCAAAAACGACGTCCGCGAATTTTAAATGTTATTCGTAAGGTTTATATAAATAAAATAATTGGTCTCAGTTTTATATACTCGGCTGTTGATATCATATCAAGGTATTGCATATATGTTTAAAAAAATAATTGCCATTATACATGCGCACAAGTGGCATTTACTTTTTTACTTGAATATAACATATAAACGATAATATTAATCGATTTATTTCTGTTGATTTCGTATTTTGTAGGGCTATTCAAGCACAATGCTTAGGAGGTTTGCTGACGTTTTTTTCAGCACAGTCCAAAAATCAACAATTTGCTATATGGTATGCAGTTGCTTTGACATCATGCGCATTTGTGTCAACCGCTTTTACAAATCCGTTTATTCTTTATGCATATCAAATGGGTATGCAAATTCGTGTTATTTGTACATCATTGATTTACAGAAAGGTAATGCGTTCTTCTTGTCTCGAATAATGAACGAGTTTTTTTAATTAGTAACAGGCCATAAATTTTGTATAGTCATTTTTTTCTAAATTTAAAATTCAACATCGTATATATTTTTAAAAATTTATAACCAGTGAAAATCATTTTCAGCTAATTTCGATAAAATCAATTTGTTCTTTTGAATCTTGCAGGTGCTAAAAATATCCAAATCTGTGTCGGTGAACGGTCTCAACGGTCTGGTTATTAATTTAATGTCATTTGACGCATATCGTTTCGACAATGCCATGACACTATTTCATTATTTATGGAAAGGACCGATTGAAGTGATAGTTTTTGGCTATTTTCTCTACCTTGAAATAGGATATTATGGATGGATAGGTGTTGGATTTATTCTATGCTTTGTTCCAATTCAGAGTAAGTGAGAAATTCTAATTAAAATAAGCCGATTGGAAGCTATTAATGTAAAATCTTTACTTTCAGTTATCATGGGGAAAATGACAGCCAATTACAGGTATCATCTGGTAGGTCACACTGACGCTCGTATTCGTATCATGAATGAAATTATTCAGGGCATCCAAACTATCAAAATCCACGTATGGGAAAAACCTTTTGCCAAAGTTGTCGATAAAATTAGAAGGTATTTTAGTAAACATTTGTTCTCTTTTCTCCTCTTTTATTTCAACACAAGAGAATTGTATTTATGAGATTTTAATTTACAGAAAAGAGTTAAAAACACTGCGTGGCCTATTTGTGATACGTGGCGTTCTTTTAAGTTTTAGTATTATATCACGAATATCGATATTTTTGAGCTTGGCCACATTCGTTTATTGTGGAAATGTATGTAATTTTGATACTTAAATACTTATTTTTACGTTAATTCTATTATAAGAAACTATATAATTTGACCACAAACACACACATATGAAAGAAACAAAAGTCGCAACAGCAAATAACAGATTGCTGACAAATATTTGAGATTTGGTAGTAGTGGATATGCTGTACACACAACAGCATCGGAGCATCATCACAGCGACAACATTGTACTGCGAATGTACGGACATACGACAGCAGTAACAGCAACATAAGGTAATTTTCATATTTTGCATAATAGCGACAAAGCGATTTGAATGTGTTGGTGTGAGTGTATTTGACTGTGAAATTTCCAACCAACAAGCCGGCAACAAGTCACGTCGTTTCGAACCATTCCCAGTGTAAGAACTAAAATTGCTGCGCATAAATTTTCATTTTACGTTGAAAGTGGAATAAACAACCTAATTGGATTTTTATCGGTTTTCCAAAAAAGTGTTTGGTAAGTATTATTTTAAAATACAATATTAAACAGAATTTTTGAATTTTTTTTTATTTGAGTGCATGGTAGATTGAGATAGAGAGAAACACATTGAACACAATACAAATATATATTCAATCATGAGTTTCATCAATGCGCGCAGTGGATTACGGTACCGTTAGTCAATAGTGCGACGCAGTTTTTTATGGTTTTTCAAAGCCTTCTTTGACTACGATATGCAATTGGATGTTTTTTTAAAGATTTTTTTTAGATTTTGTTTCATCATTTTTTTGTTTTCAACATTCATTCGTTGCCAGGAACAACAAATCGGACACATCAAATGACGAAGAAGAAGATGGACACATTTTTAGGTCTTACACAGGGAATCGTTCACAAACCGACCAAACGACGTCGTAATCCGGAAAATATGAATACAAAGGATTGGTAAGTTTTTTTTTGCATTGCATTTTCTTCATTGTGAAATGAATTTTAATTTTATCGTATCGAATTTGTATCGATCAGTTTCTTAGTTTGACTCAACTACGAACCGGTCCGCAATCGTGTTCTTCCCGGCAAAAATTAAATGAATTTTCTCCCCGGACGTCTTCCGTAGTTTGCTCCGTCTACGAGTAATTTACGTTGTATGAGTAAGTATCGTTTGCATAGTGTAAAATAAGAAATTTTCTTGATTCACGAAAATGTATTTCTTGATTCACACAAGCAAAAAAACAAAACTTTACTTAGCAAGAATTAAAACGCATACTTGCTTTCATTTTATGAAATTTATTATTATTGTCGTAGCTTCTGGCCAGAGGTTCGAGGGGTTGGATTACCACCACCCCAACGTTGCTTAGTGATAAAATAAATATTTTATTTTAACGAATCATCGAATCAATTTTTTGTTTTGATTCACACATTTTTTTTAATTCACAGATTTCTTGATTCACGGAACTGGATATCTTGATTCACATTTTATACTTGATTCACGCTTATTTTACACTATTGTAGACTGATATTGATTTATTAACTAATAGTGATTTAATTTGTGTTTCATTTCTTTTTTCCTGATTGATAGGTAAACCAGTACTATTCCATAGTGAGCATATTAATGGCATTTTTTCTCTTTTCACAGTGATCAACGATCTCAACACTACTACCACTACTACTACTAACAAATCTCAAATTTATGCATTGTTATTGACTTTGCGCTTAAACTATATAATTTCTTTTAATATTTCATTTTCCATTCTGTTCCATTACTTATTGATTAATTTCCATTTTTTCCATCTGATCAACTCTAGGTATTTACATCGCGGCAAGTATTTGTGGTGACTTCGTATTTCAATTTCCTATACGATTCGATGCTGTATTTTTGGACAGTGGCTTTGGGAACAATATCCGAATGTTTTGTTTCTATGCGGCGAATTGAAGATTTTCTCCTATTACCCGAAGACAAAGAACTATTCAGCAAACAATCACAAATGAAAAAATTCAAAGGATACACAAAAATGGATGAACAAGTGCCCGATGTTATCGTTAACGTAAATGGTCTAACAAAGCAAAATGATAAAATTGTTAATATCGATCAAAACTCCAAAGACGTATGTGTCATATTTAAAAATGTTACGGCAATGTGGGCTAATTCTCAAGCAGGAATAGAAGATGTTAGCTTTGAAATCAAATCAAAGCAATTCTGTGCAATTATCGGGCCTGTTGGCAGTGGAAAATCTTCCATATTGCATACTATATTAGAAGAGTTGGAAATTGATAAAGGCGAACTAACTGTGAACGGAATCGTTAGCTATTCAGCACAAGACCCTTGGTTGTTCGATGCAAGCGTTCGCCAAAATATTTTATTTACAGAAGAATATGATGAGAGTCGATATAAGGAAGTGATTCGAGTTTGTGCACTCGAACGTGATTTACAGCTATTGCCCTATGCAGATCTTACCATTGTCGGTCAGTTTCAGATTGATTGATTTTTTTCATGTCTTTTTTTTACTTTTTTGGTTTATTGGTTTTTTCGAACAGGAGAACGGGGGATAAGTCTTAGTGGTGGTCAGAAGGCTCGTGTAAGGTAATAATAACCACTCTATTGAATGTTAATAGACAAAATCTTTGAATATTTTCAATTGGTTTCAGTTTGGCCCGGGCTGTTTATCGGAAAGCCGATATTTATCTATTGGATGATCCCTTGTCAGGTTAGTCATACAAAATCAACGAATTACAACGATTTCATTTAGCTACGTGAAAAAAAATTGATTTTTGTTTTATTCTTATTTTGTCAGCGGTTGATTCGGTAGTTGGAAAACAAATTTTTGATAGTTGTATCAAAGATTATCTGAAAGATAAACTATGCGTTTTAGTTACACACCAGGAACAATACTTAAGGGCTTCAAATCATATCGTTTTTATGAACATGGGTAAAGTATACAGGGAAAATCGTTTAAAAATTACTTTTAGTTTTTTTATTCGTTTCATTTGTGATTTTACCCCAGGTAAAGTTGAATTCCAAGGCCGACATGATTCACGAATTGAGAATGTTCACTATCAATCATTCCGCCGACTCAGTATAGGAGATGACGATTTGGAAGATGACAAACTATCCGATGAGGTTAACTCATTGTACAAAATATATATGTTTTTCTTAATTTAATACGAGAAACAATTGATATTTTTTCAGGAGGATGAAGCAATGAAATCAAACGAGGCTTTTTCTAGACAATTGGAAAGTCGCAAAGAAATGCGTCATATTGGCTCTGTGGGCTTTAATGTGTACAAAGCTTACTTTAGTTCTGTTGATAATGCATGTTTGGTGTTTAGCGTATTAGCTTTAGTTATAATTGGTCAAATTGCTGTTAGTGGTGTAGATCTTTTTGTATCAAAATGGTAAGCATGCTAATTTATGTGGCAAACCACATTTTGATATTCTGTAATTAATGTTGATTTCTTGTTTTCTTTAATATTAGGGTTGAATGGGATTTAAAATTGAAATATGTACCAAAATCAGAAGTTTCTGCCAATAGATTGCAATATGTATATATTTATACAATCTTAATAGTGATCGTTTTGTATTTGGTCTTTCAACGCGCACTAACATTATTCTACTTTTGTTTGAAAGCATCGCGACTCATCCATCAAAAGCTATTCAATGGTGTAACTCGCGCTAGAATGTATTTTTTCAATAATAATTCTTCAGGTCGTGTGATCAATCGATTTTCTAAAGACATTAACGATATTGATTATTATTTACCAACCGTTCTGTATGATTCAATATTGGTACGTCAAAACAATGTTCTTTTATCTTTTTATCCCTTATAATATTTTTAAAGAAATTACTTCAAAAGATTCATAAATATATATATATATATATATATGTTTTGCAGTTTATTCTTCAATTGATTACATCATTGATTTTGGTGTTGTTAGCAAATTATTGGTTGATAATTCCAACGTTCATCGTGAGTTGTATATTCTTATATTTGCGGCACATTTATGTTAAAACGGCTAGATGTCTGAAGCGAATGGAATCAATGGGTAAAAAGTGACCTATATTATTATTTTCAATTTTAAAAATCGCTTTAACTTTTATTTGATGTGAAAGGTCGAAGCCCAATATTTTCCCATACGAATGCAACGATAAGTGGTCTGACAACAATACGATCGTACAAATCATGTGATATCATCATTAAAGAATTCAATTCGCTTCAAGATAGCAATACTTCAGTGTGTTATTTATTTAATTCATCTTCGCGAGCCTTGTCGCTGTGGTTAGAGCTGGTTTGTGTTTTGTATATGACAATTGTGATTACAATATTTTTTGTATTCCAAAATGGTACGATTCCGATTCGTTATAGCAGAAAAAACCCGTGATGAAATGAATAATCTTTACTTCAATCGTTTCAGATATAATTGGTGCCCATGTTGGTTTGGCCATAACTCAGATTTTGGGTTTGATTACAAACATACAATGGGGCATGCGTCAGACAGCTGAACTTGAAAATAATATGACGTCGGTTGAACGTGTGATGGAATATATAAATTTAAAAACAGAAACTGAACCAAAAGGGGATGAACCAAAACCGATACCAGACCTGAAAAACTGGGCGAAAAATGGTGAAATTGAATTTAAAGATTTATCAATGAAATACTCTGAAGAAAGCCATCGAATACTCAAGTCTTTGAATTTGAAGATAGATTCAGGTGAGAAAATTGGCATTTGTGGAAGAACGGGAGCAGGAAAGAGTTCAATAATTCAGGTAACCGTGATTACATCAATCAAATTACATTCTCTAAATAAATAGAATCATTTTTTCAACATCATTCAGGCAATATTCCGTTTGGCTCACAACGAGGGTGTCATCAAGATTGATAATGTCGACATATCGAGTATACCATTGCACGAATTAAGAAAAAATATTTCGATTATACCACAAGAATCTGTCCTATTTAGTGGCACTATGCGCGATAATCTTGACCCATTTAATGAAAAAAGTGATGATGAACTTTGGTCCGCACTTGAGGAGGTCAGTTTCAAATTGATTGATTTTATTCTTCTCTTTTTTTAATTCTTTTTTGGTTCTTGCTATGGTTTATTGGTTATTGCAAACAGGTCGATTTAAGAGGAGCTGTTAGTGCACTTCCGAATGGCTTAGATTGTAAGGTGCATGATAATGCATCGAATTTCAGTGTCGGACAACGGTCGTTAGTTTGTTTGGCACGGGCTATTCTACGCAAGAATAGAATATTGATTTTAGACGAGGCTACAGCAAATGTGGATGGAAACACAGATAAATTTCTTCAAAAAACTATTCGCGAAAAATTCACTGATTGTACCGTTTTAACAATTGCACATCGTCTGCATACGGTAATGGACAGCGACTATTTTAACTAAAACTGGTAGAATTTATTGATGGATTTTACTTTTAGGTAATGGACAGCGACCGTGTGCTTGTTATGGATGCTGGCCAAGCCGTTGAATTCGATCATGCACATCGCCTGCTAGAAAATTCAAATGGATTTTTAACGAAATTAGTTGATGAAACTGGATTCACAACATCACGTCACTTAAAACAAATGGCTAAACAAAATTACGAACGAAAATCGCGTTAAGTCTTCATATATAGGTATTCAAATGCATACAAAGTTTACTTTAATATAAATGTAAATGTTATTCTTAGATAAGTAGGAAAATGCAATAAAAAACATACTTCAACTGAATACTGTATACGTGTAAGAGATATTGATGTTTTATTTGTAATGAAAAAGTTTAAGATTCATTTGGCATTCCAAAAATTCCACAACAATACAATCACTTTGTATTTTTATTTGCACACAAAATGAGAAAATAGCGTTCATCGTTGAAACATCATCAATATTTACACAAAAAACCTACATAATAGAATTAATGCAATGACCTGACAAAGTAAGTCAAATCCCTGAGTTTTATGTAAATTTTTGCAGTATGTGTATGTGTAAGTATAGTATTTATGTGAATATTTCAAATTTCAAATACATAGACTCATCGTCACTAAACATAAAGAATGGTAAAATACATTCCAAAAATTTTATTATCAAAATTAAGAGCACTCTACATTTTAAGTAAAATTTATGGATGAGAATAAAGTCATTCACATCGAATTGAGCTTTGCCAACAATTACTTCAAACTATATTTAGGCAATTAAAAATGACACATAAAATATGAACACTGCAAATATGAACACATTTAGCTCTCTAATGAAAATTGTTTGCTCATTTGAATTTTGGACTAAGATAAAAATAGATTTTTGCCAGAACATTATTTGAGAAAAAACAAAGTTGAATATCACATACAATTTATGAAATGAATTATGCAAGTTAATCCCAAAGAGACAAGCATACATTTCACACACACAAACTTTGATTTTTTCGATAAGAATCATCAATTTATAAGAACGGATTTGTGTCTATGGATTGGATTGATTTATTTTCAAATCCACTTGATGGATTCGCCGTTGATACAAACCCTCAATCAATCATGTCAAAGTGCGAGTGATTGGTCTTTTTTTAAATTTATTAACGAAAAAATGGCAAAAAATGCTATTGGGAAATTCACAAACATAAACACGACTTGATGAATGCAAAATGTGGAAAATGTGGAAAATCAGATCGAAAAATTATATAGCTTGATGTGAAATGATGCAAAAATTTCACATGTGAAAGCACTTAGGGGCCTAAAAAAGCATCTTTTTTTATCTTATCATTCTTCGTGAACAAATTGTTATTTTTATTTGTTTTCTGTGAATCAACCACTTTTCCCAGCATACGGTATTGTGTGCATCTGGGCATCCACATATTGACATTAATATACGAAAAGAGAATACAAACCAATGGTTTTACATGCAATTTTCAACAACCTAATGAAAATGACAAAAACGCTCGTTATTTTAATCATTACATCAATCAAATTTATTTGCACACTTTTTTCTATTGCCTGTAAGTATACAGTGAAAGGCTTTGAAAGCAATGAAAAATTGATGTAAATTTTCTCATCGTCGTTATAATATTTGAATAACAAGATGCGAAGAAAAAGAGAGAAAAAAAGCAAAGAAAATTGGTAAAGGCATGGTAATGCAAGAACATGAAGTGATAAAAAGTATTTCTCGCACTCGCGAGAAAAAAATACTGTATGCTAGCACAGTTGAATATAATGAACGCGAATGTTTTACTGAACGAAGAAGTCATTTATTCAAATGTAGAAGGTGGAAGCGAGCCAGTAAATCAAAGGAAATGTGCGTACAATTAGACTGGCCCCCCAAAACACAAAAGTTGAAATTTTTTTGCTCTTACCTCGGAATACTTTTCCATATGGTGTGCAAATAACGTGTGTAAAGTTTCATGCCGATAGCTCAACGCTAGATGGTGCCGCAAGAACTCGGTAGGTCATTATGTGAATTCATTGAAAAATGACGTTTTCAGTTAAAATAAAAATATCTTCGCACAACCACATCGACTAAAAATTGATGGTAATCGTAATTTTCAGCAAATACTTGCCACTGGTGAAGTTTCAAATGATTTGAATGAAAATAAAACACATTTCCATTCAAAAAATTTAATTTTTTGACCAAAAATTCCAATTTCATCACCAACAATGAAGGTTTTGTACCAAAAGTACAACAGACCTCCACAAATTAATCTCATTTGAATTTAGAATACTTTCAGAGCAAAACTAATGTGATTCCACTTTGGTATACACCCATTTCAACGCATCGTATAGCTGGAACACATGTTTAAACCCTTCAATAAACAACGTAACGCTGGAACTAGTGATCCATCATTGCATTTACACACATCACGAAAGAATACTGAAAATATTACGCAGAACGAATGTATATTATCCTTTGGGAATTAATTTACGAAAACGTTTTTATAACATTGCCATTGTATTGCTACAGATAATCAACTCTCTCTGATGAATCATAGTATGTTACGATGTAAATCCCGTGTTATGTAATGTTTATATTTAAATATTCATATTGCATAATATCTACAACGTGCATTAGCAGCCGCATTTTTTAATTTTAAATTGACTCTCCTTTTCTTTTTCTTTCTCCTTTTGGAAAGTAAAATGAACCTAAGCCGAGACATCAAATCAATCGAAGTAGTAGTAGAGTGACTCACAGAATAATGATTTTAGTAAATAAAATTGAGCATGTATTGTTCTTATGCATACTTATACAAAGTAAATAATGTCATCAATTCCTTAGAAGTAGAAACTGAAATAATAGAGGTAGAAACACATTACGCCAGAACCAATATAATGTTCATAAACATCATAAAAAGAAAAGGTCCTACTGACTACTGAGCACGTGTTTATAATGATAATGATGATGATGTGATGATTTATATTTGGCGGCATTTTCAACTTGATGAATTCCACCTCTTTTTATGACATTCAAGTTAAGATTTAGCTTCGCGTGTTTAATATTTGCACTTCAATCTAACTGCCCTTCAATTTACTTATGCATATATGCTACACAATAAACTGCTTACGAGAAATCATTCTAGCAAATATTAAGATCATAAATCATTCCACAATGATTTTCAGCAGAGAATGTGGATTTAAATCTATGCGCACACTTTATGTTTATTTGAATGCACAAGATAACGCCCAACGCATTTTAGCGTGTTTACCATTTAGTATTCTGAAAGTAAATATCTTTTGCTGTTCTAAGTCCAATCTCAATCGTTTTCATTGAACTTGCACGTTTACTTTTAACATATGTCCATAAAGTTTTGGCAGTAAATTCAGGCGTTTATTGCGCCACATAAACAAAATAAAAAATATCAACCAATGCACACGGCACGTTTATCAGTACCTCGGGACTACTATCAAACTCAATTCGATAAAATACATCCATTCGCGGAGACGTACAAATTGGATTTACGAAAAAGTGTCTCAAATGGTTGTGGCGGCTAAGTTCAAAACAAATTTCGCATGTGTCTAAAGATGAACCCATCTGCCTACGAACCATATATTGTGTTTCATGGACTTAGTATGAAGACAAAGATTCTAGAGAAAGCAAAAAGTACGGTCGTATTCCCTATTTAAATGCCCCAACCCTCCAAAATTGTCATCAAGTACTGAAAACCGGGTTGGTCAAGCAAAAATTCGTTTTTGGTGATTTTTATGGTTACAGCACATCAAAATTTGAATCAAAACAATAGATTTAGACCCGGTCATTAGGAATCAGCAAAATAGGTAATGAAAAAATTCAATAGAGTGTCAAAAATTGGGTATTTACTTCATCTCATAGCATTTTGCACTGAAAAATTCATCATTTTGGACAGTGAAACATTCATCGCTATGTCGAACCACGAATCAAGTGCAAGTGGTTTCTTTTGCATTGATTATGTTAGGGCACTACTATATAAGGCTAGAGACGTCGACAAACCGAACTTTGATAAACGGGTGTTTGTATGGTAGGATCTTCTTTGGAAGGTGTTTTAGAGCCAATATTCGAGAATTTGGTACTGAAACGTAAGGTAAAACCTCCATTACTTGCTCCATTATCAACCAATTGTTGTTGAAATCGATAGAATTCATTGAGAACTATCTGATTTAACACAAAATTTTGGTTTGCAAGCAGAAAAAACCACAATAATGGCTCACTTCTTAAAATATGACATTTCCGTGAAAAAAGGACCATCTGTTTAACTTCACAAAAAGACACCAAATTAATTATTTCTCGTCTGTTTTTGGATGTAAGTTATAGGCGAAGGTCCAAAATACTTGAAACAAGCAAAAATTAGCGGGAAGGTTCGAGAGAAAGTTGAAAGAAATCGACATATTGGTCCGCCAAAGCATGATTTTGAAGGTTCGACGCATACTGAGAAAAATCGAAGACAATGGCCCGTTCAGTGTAAGGTGAATGTGCTATTCGTAGCGCATTAATGAAGGTTTATACCAATAAAAAAGAATTTAATATTGTATGTTTGTTGTTCAAATGGCGAACATCTGAATTTACTTCCAAAACTTTATGGACATATGTTACATTCAATTGGTTTTTTTTATTTCATCGTATTGAATTAAGAGCAAATGACGAAGTAAAAACGATTGCAGCAAAGATGTAGACGAGACTTTAATTCATGGAAATGGATTTCAAATATTATGGAAGAAGCAGCTCAACAATATGCTAAATTAATTAACAGTGAAATCAGTGTCAAGTGCGCTTTTATGTGCATGGGTGTGTGTAATTGAATTGATTGCTGATTCTTGAGTTTTAATATGAAATGAAAGAAAATGCCATTTCTTTTCTGTCATGTTCGCTTTCCTATTGTTTACGCCTATTTTCTTGCAACTGATTTCGGAAATGTTTTATTCATTTAATTTCGTTAGAGAGTTTATTAATGCAATTCACACTCGCAAAGAATATATTTTGTTTACAGTACCGATCGCATTCTTATTTTATTTTACTCTGCATGAAATTTTGCATTTTTGTCTTTGGCAATTGTAGAACTTTAACCAAGCCATTCTTGATTTGGCTTTTGCTGTGACATGCTCAATGTGTGATTTGAAATTTATTTGCACATCAATCAACACTCCCAAGTCCCTTATTACAAAGACTCTTTCAATTTATAAAGACTCTTTCTCTTTTTTTTTTATTTCTATTAAATAAATAATGAAGTGAAGTTGAAACTTTCACCATTACCAAAAATGGTTTTATGATTTATGAACATCTTTTAAAATATTCTAT